TAATGAGAACTGCCTGGAGTTTTTTCATGTCATCTTTTGCTGAACTTATAAATGATAAAACCTCTATCTTCCTTATGGTCTGGAACGTCTTAAACACAGTCTATGCTTTTAGGGCTGGGTACAAGATAACCATGAATTTTGCCCACCCATGGACCCGGAATGTCTATAATGAATGCTCTTTAATCACCTTTCCAGTATAGTCACCTGATTAGAGTCCTCTGTTTCTCCTTGGATTTCAACTACATTTAAATTGGTTCCTTCCCCTGGTGGTTTTTCTTATTTCTATGTGAAATGTATTAGCAGAGAGACAAAAGTAAAGAAGACCCGATTTTGGTCTTCAACAAATTTTCCATGTAGGAGGGAACATTAAGAACAGCCACGGACAACCGCCACTTACGAATTCCTACTTGGTTTTCTTGTCAGTACTGTCTGCTCTTTCCACAGCACCCCAAATGGCAAAGACCCACATACACACATGTGCACATGCACGAAGTTCTAGATGTGCCACCCCAATGCCTACGAATAATGCCCAAAGGCACTGTCTTGGAAGTCTCTAGAATCTGCTTCTAGCCATCTATTCTCCCACCACCCGTTTCTTTTGTGCATTTTCTGTTCCAGTTGGAGTGAAGTATCTGGTATCTCCCTGAACCCCTTTCTTCTCTTGCCTCCACCTGCACACGTCATCTTGCTTCTACCCTCTCCAGCAAGTTCCTCATCTCCTCCACCTTCCAACCTGTGGCCATTCTGCAAGGGTCACTAAAATGCTACCTCCTTCAGAAAACCTGCCTGGATTCCCCTAGACAACAGTTACCTTTCCTGGACAAATGAGCGTACCTATTTATGCCTGGATTGAAATGACTTAGGGAGTTAGCGTCTGAAAAAGACAAACCACCACCACTCTGAGCCGCAGTATTCTGCTCTGTAAAAGGGGTTGGTGACTGCACAGAGCTTGTGGCTCACAGGGTCATCCCTGCTGGACAGTCACTCAGTAAGTATCAGAGAATGTTTTGCAGATGCTCAGAACACAGGGATGAGTGTTTTAACTCTCGTGCTGGAACGTTAGCTGAGTATTTTGCTTTGATTTTAAATTTATTTCCTTGTTTCATATCTCTGAACTCTAGGCGATACAAAAGTTCAGTGAATACTAAAAGAATCTATGTTGTTAACTCAGTATCTTTACAATGCCTTTAACAACATCAAATACAATTTTTTAAAAAAGCAAGAAAACTCTTAGAACTCTCCAAGTAACTCTTAAAACTCTAGCCTCACTCATCAACAGCATCTCTGCACTTCTTCCTTCCTGCTCATCACCAACTCTGCACTAGGGCTCCAGGAGCTCACTGATACTGTGTTAACAAGGAGCGCTCAGCACTGGTGTCACCAGCCCCCTAGAAGCCCAGGGGCCATGCCTGCCAGGTCCCTTGTTCCTCGCCCACTCACTGAGTGCTGCGGGTGGACACACACTCCGTTTCCAAAGTCTGTTTCCATCATAAAAGCAAAATGATGCTAGAATTCTAGTTTCTTGTCTTCCCTTAGTACCACTATATGCTAAGCACTATTTGTGGCTTTGACTTAATCAAATGGATGAAAACTAAAATCTTATATATATATATATATATATATTTTTTGGTGGTGGTGCTTTGAACCCAGGACCTTTACACTGAGTTATATCCCCAGCCATTATTTTAAAGATAGGGTCTCACTAAATCGTCCAGCCTGGGCTTTGACTTGTAATCCTACTGCCTCAGTTTCCCAGAGTGCTGCGATTACAGGCTTGTGTGACCATGCCTGATGCAAAATTGTATTTATTGTAATATAAGAATTTTTCCTTAAAGATTAATTTTTTGGGTTTTTTTAAAGACAGGGTCTCACTATGTAGTACAGGCTAGCCTTGAACTCACTGCAATCCTCCTGCCTCAGTATCCCAAGTGCTGGGATTATAGGTGTGCCACCATGCCTGACCTTAAAGACCAATCTTTACAATAAGTATTATAAGGAATTTTTACAAGTTTAAAGATTTGACTGCCACACAAATGAAGGAAAATCCCTTATAATTCACCAGAAACAGACCAGGAATGCAGCACAGAGGGAGCACAGAGTCCTAAGCTTTACGGACACCTGTGAGAAAAAATAAGGTAAAATTATGTCCCTATAACACTTGACTGATTACCTGACACTGTGTGCTGAACATTTAGTGACCCTGGTGTTCTTGGCAGAAAGTAACGTTAACTGTAACACTGGGCAAAGCCTGGGCAATAGCATCACCCAGGGCCACCACGGGTCCCCAGCTACACAAGGTGGTGCCCGCCACCTGCCCAAACCCTCTGCACTATGCCCACCACTGTGACCCAATGGTACCTACTGCTTTGGAAGCTTCACAGACAGGGGATGGGGTCTTGCGCTCCAGGCCACCTGTGGGAGGGTAGCAACAGCACCTGCTGTTGACAAGGCCTTCACGAGGGCCCTGCCTGCCGCCTCAGAAATGCAGGCTGCCTGAGACCCAGTGATAGGACTCTTCTTAAGCCTTACATAAAACAAAATTTAACTGGGGCAATTTACTAGAGCAGTTTCCAAAGCAGCAACAACTTTGGGTAGGACAGGTGGGCCATTCTATTTCAACCAACACAGGAAGTGCCCCCCTGAGTCAATCAGGAACTATTTCAAATCTCAACTTGAAAACAGGCCACATGGAAGGCTACCCACCCAAAAAAGAACTTAAAACACAAAATTTTGCCCTACATAAAATTTTATATAAAACACAGCCATTACTTAAAATGAGACAGCTGGGAATGGTTCCTAGGATTTTCTTTACCTTGAGTTTTTGCACCTGAATAAAATCCAAACCATGTGACTTAATTTATCATCTTTATTTGTTTTAAAGTCCACAATATTTCAAATTAAGTAAAACTTTAACTAGAGAAAACACACAGGAAAATACAGTTTGCTTTGACATCTTTCCCAGTTTTAAAATACACTAAGTAGAAAGGTACTTGGGTTTTGGACACAATTTCCAGCTGTCTTTGAAAACTTTATGTTGCTAATTCAGATGTGATACTCCCTTGTTTCTGTTTTTTTTGAGACAGGCTCTCATTATGTAGTTCAGACTAGCCTTGAACTCACTATGTAGCATTGGCTGACCTCGGACTCACAGTGATACTCCTACCTCAGCCTGCAGAGTGCCATACCCAGCCGGTACTCTTTTTAAATAGCCCCTTCTCCAAACTTTAAAAATCCCTAAAGCCAGGAACGCTCCTGTAATCCCAGCACTTGAGGGGCTGAGGCAGAAGAACTGCCATGAGTTTGACGGCAGCCTGAGCTACATAAGTGAGTTCGAGGCCAGTCTGTACGATACGGTGAGACTCTGTCTCAAACAAACAAACAAACAAACATCCCTAAAAAGCAAGTGTTAGGCGATAACCACCTGTATTTAACTAAATACTAACAATACAAATTGTGCTAGATATTAACATGTTATAAAGACTCAAAGAGTAAATACAGGATTTCTCCATTATTAAATGAGTAGATCTTTATTATCCTGAAGTTTCACGAAACAGATTTGGGCCTTAGGAAACCTACAACTTTTTGGGTCTCTTAAAAACACTTTATCAGAATGATCTGTCATTACTGCAATCCAGCAAGACACAGATGTGTAGGGAAAAGGCCAATCACGACCCTTTCTTCCACCCTGCAGAATCTGTTAGGAGCTTTTCCATCATGCCAATTCATACACACCTCTAAAAATACAACTAGATATTTTCTCACTTTTAAAAATGGGAGCCACACTATAAATACATTACTCTGCAACCTGCTTTTTGAAAAATATAATACAGACATCTCCTCAAATTAAGAGACACAGATATTCCTTTTCCTTTTCAGGTCTCTCAAATTAAGAGACACAGATATTCCTTTTCCTTTTCAGGTCTCTCAATTACGAAGAGCTGTATGATTCACTTAGTCAAATAAAGAAATGCTGCTTTACCCAGGGACCTAAAATATAATTTTAAACATATTTTAACATAATTTAGAACTCAAACCTCTAGAGAACAGGCAGGAATTTTTTGGATTCACAAAACAGACCAATCATCTGAGATAGGATTCAAAGCCTTTGGTTATTTTAGCTATAAAAACCACTATCAGTGATCTGGATAAAACACAACATATAACTATTCAGACAGGTCCTGAAAACTGCGGACAGACATGTGTCAGGCAGATTGCTGTGTGTCTCACCCAGCCTCTGACCACCTACTTGTAGCCACGTGGACAGGTAGCTCTGCTGATTGAGGGCCATGACACCCTCTGCTTCGGAGCAGGTACCTTAAGCCAACCCTTTAGCTGGCCGGAAATCAGTTCTACAGACCTTGCCTACAGGCTGCTGGGCCAAGGATGCTCTCAGGAGTGCAACCTGGGACGTACTGTGAGACCTCACAGGTACCGTTAGTCACCTAATGATGGCATGTTTGCAGTACAATGTGATGAGGTCAACTGGGACTGCTGACATCATGCTCTGAAACCTGTATACTTATTCACATGCTTTGAAATTCTGGAAATAGTTTTTTTTTTTTGGAAATTTTTTTCCCGTTCTGTTTTGTTTTTTTGGTTTTTCTCCGGTACCGGGAACCGAACTCACGACCTTGCGCTTGCCAGGCAGGCGCTTTTGCCGCTGAGCTAAATCCCCAGCCCTGGAAATAGTTTTTGACAGACCAGTGGTGGCAAACCTACAGCATGTGCACCGCAGAGGGCTGTTTGTAAGCTCTAAAAGTTTTGCCACCACTGCCTTAGACTTTGTTAAAACACCATTTCCCGGTTTTGGCTTAAACGAAACCCAACACAGCCCTTGCAACCTCAAAAGTACAGGATGATTTCTACTAGTTTAATCCTAGAGCTCCCTCTACAACCCGTCATCCCTGAGGTTTCTTACTGCTTTTTCACCAGCACAAGGCCTCTGGGGGCCACAACCCCAGTGCTGGCGTGTAAGTGCACCTGAACCCGGCCAAACCCACCTGTGCAGGAAATGCAGCTTGTGCATAGCGGCCAGCCCCGCAGCGATCTCACACGCCATCCTCTGCAGGAACATGGTCTGCGAGTCACCGCGCACATGCTCTTGCTCGTTGCGCAGGTAAGCCTTCAGGTCGCCCTGCAAGAAGCAGCGCATGTGAGCAGCAAAGTAGATCTTCCAAACAAACTGGGTCTAGGTGTGTGCCTTAGCTGACATGTACCATCAAGACCACTTAGCACTAAATGCTAAGGTCTGCACTTCATGAAAGATCTCAGACTGAACAAGCTTCAAATTATAAAAGGTAATTCTGACCCAGATTCAAAAGCACAGATTATCATTACGCTTTTAGGGTCATTTTAACGAATTTGTGTTTATCATATAAATGCATATAAAACAAAGCAAACAAAATATAACTTGAAATAATACACAACTGAACTAAGGACAGTGGGAAAGCCTAGAGATCTTCAGGTAACTTAAGAGGTAAAGTGGAAAGGAGAAGAAATGGTGTCCTCTGCGCTGCTTAACGTAAGGCTGCTAGGATCCACGTATCGAGGAGTGCTTCATTCCTAAGCCTCTGTGGCCACTGCCCCCCACCACGTGAACAACAGAGAGGGGGAGAGAGAAGAAGGGCTACTGACACTGTTCACTTCTCTCCCAGCTTCCTTCCCGGGAGCCTCAAGGGTATTCCAACCATCCCCAAACACCATGTTAGCCAGAGAACAGCCCAGGCAGAGAAAAAACCCAGTCATTTGTCTGACACAGAGACATCAGACAGCCGGTTCCCTGGCTACTACTGTGGGACCACCTGGGATTGCCCAGCTTTACTTCACTCATGACTCTGTGTGTGTGTGTGTGTGTGTGTGTGTGTGTGTGTGTGTGTATTTCGTGCTTCTGTTTTGGGAAGTATAATTTCTTTCTTTCTTTCTTTTTGGTGGTGATGGTGGTACTGGGGCTCTAACCCATGGCCTTCACACAGAGCTACAACCCCAGCCCTTTAACTTTGAGACACAACCTGGCTAAGTCACCAAGTTGCCCAGCTGGGACCCAAACTTGTGATCCTCTTGTCTCAGCCTCCCAGGGTTCTAGGATTACAAACATGTGCCACTAGAACACCTGCTAGTAGTATACTTTTGAGGGAATATCTTTGATGTTATTGAGGCATTTTTAAATACGGGTTGAAATAATCTAATCTCAAAAGAAAGCTTTTTATCCTCAGTTAACAACATTTAGAAAGCCACTAGTCTTCAATTTTTTTATATCAGAGTCAAGAAAAGACTCCAGAGGATCGATGTCCTCTTTGACTAACTAAAGCACGAAGTTCTTATAACTTAATGACTACGAATATTCTAGTGTAGTGGCAAGGCCCCTGCACAGAAAGGGCATTTGCTCTCATTCCGGGTCTCAGGTGACCTCTGCATGAATGACTGTGTTGACACCACTGCCACCGCTAGGCTTTGGAGCATGCCTCGCACAGAGCTGGGGTTTCGCACTTGATCCCCATGGCACGGACTTCACACAACTTCAGATTTTTTGCAGATAAGGAACTGAGGATAAGGGAGGCCAAGGTATTCGTTCGAGGCCACAGCTGATAAATGGCCTGGCTGGGCTTCTATGTTTCACTTCACCAGCTAGGCAAGGAGAGTCCACTTAAGTAAGCAAACTAAGTCAATACGCAGATTAAATCAATTTATCTTACAAGAATGAACTGAAATAACTTCAGGTCCAACACTGACCTGTGGAATTCTCTCAGGGGCATTGTAACTGCTCTAGAGGGAAGCAGCATATGCCCCAACTACCATGAGCACCCAGATACCGAACCAGTGACACAACCCCCCTCCCCACTTAGAGGTACTGCAGACTGAACCCAGGGCCTTCACACAGCTATATCCCTAGTTAGTCTTTTTTTCTAAGTTGCTAGGTTGCCCAGGCTGGGCTTGAACTCACAGTCCTCCTGCCTCAGCCTTCGTGAGTGTCGGGGTTACTGATGTGCACTACCATGCCCAACTCCCCTCACATTTCTTTCCAAACACAATGCTTTCTCCTTGTGCTCCTACTGGAATTACATTAACTACTCAGGACAAAAAGGCACCCCTCCACACCCCTTTAAACAATAAACACCCCTTCATCCAGGGTGAGCTCTATCCAGAGGTAGGAGTTGCAGAGATAATGAAAGATTCAGATGATAATTAAGTTAATGCAGAAAAATTCCAACAAAGCATCCCAGAACTGCAGGCTAATGGGATTTTCGTAACTAAACATGTTTAGAAACTAAACATGAACACAGAATAAGTCTACTGCCATTACCAATGAGGTGGCAATATAAATTCTTCTGCGCAGCTCTCTTCCTGCAGCAATGCCCATTTGTGGGAAAAATTACTCTCATATGAAAGTGTGAGTGTGCCACGGTGCACTGGTTGATTCTCAAGACAAACAGCAGCTGCTGGCAAACACAGTGACTACGGCCCCGAAGGAAGGGGAACAGCAAGTGGGGGGAGCTGTTTTTCAAGGTTACAGGAAGCAAATTCTTTGCTGCTCACTGTCCTTAAAATGTCTTCTCTCTGAGAAAGCCGTGAGGAGCCCCAGCACTGCTCCTATGGCTGAGCCCTGTGGTATGTGTGAGATCCAGGATAACAGCACCCCTAGAACCACCACTCAAACGGAAAAAAAAAAAATCTTTTAATTACAGTGAGACTTTTATATTATAAGCAAGTACTAAATACTGATTCATTCTAGGAAAACCAGACACATCTATATTTAGGTATCTAGTCTGTTTTATTTATTTTAATGGTGCTTAGTGAGTAGATATTATTTTGGTCCATTGTTTAAAAAGAAAAAAAAAAACCCCAATAAGAACAGCAATGTATTCTAAATTAAAATAAAGTTTCTTTTAGCCAGGTTTTGAATGTCTCAGCTCCTTCCTTAACCTGCTCAAAAAAACTTCAAAGGAAAACTCTGTGACGCTAGATGGCAGCAAAAGGCTACGCTAAGAATTCAAGGCCGGCCAGGCACTGCAAAGCCTTCCTGGTGTAAGTGTGTTCCTCCCCTGTGCATCCTAACTTCCAGCCCAGAAGGCCGGCAGAGCTTTAGCCAGCGCTTCTTTGCAGGATGCTGAAAATAAATTTTAATACAATAATATGATATTTGTTAAAACTCAACAAGTTTTATCTAATTAAAAAATTATAGTCATTTATATATTTAATAAGGTTGATTTAGGGGGAAATTTGTAATTTTTCAATTTTTTTTATTTGGGTGGGTCTGACTGAGGATTGAACCCAGGATCTTTGCACTGAGCAACAACTCCAACCTTTTTTAAATTTTTTATTTTGAGACAGGATCTTGCTAAGTTGTCCAGGCTGGGCTTCAACTTGCCATCCTCCGGCCTCAGCCTCCCCAGACTGGTGGGATTACAAGTGTGTGCTATCACGCCTGGCAGATTTTTCAAAAGAAATTTTAACACAGTCAAGAGTCCTACCCGATATCCTGCTGACGGAATTAAATATACTTTCTGCAGCTGAAGTCCAGCCACGCCTCCATCTGCAAGTTTTGACTGTTTCTTCCCACATCGGTTACCCTCACACATCATTTCCTCCTTTGTTATCCATGATTATTCACCCTTCACCTCAAACCTTTTTAAGCTTATCTCTGCCCAGCACAGCAGTGCACACCTGTAATCCCAGCTACTTGGGATGCTGGGTCAGGAGGACTGCCAAGTTTGAGGCTGGCATGGGCAACTTATCCCAACTCTGTCTCAAAACATTTAAAAAGGGCAAAGGGGTGTAGCTCAGTGGTAGGGCTCTTACCTAAAATGTACAAGGCTCAAGAATCAATCCCCAGCACAGATAGGTAGACAGATGAATGGATGGATGGATGGATGAATGCAAATTCAATCTCCTGACTCCATCTCTTCTCTCAGCTCTAATGCTCGAACACCTTAGGCAAATCCAACAAAAACTGAATCTCCTGGCTACCGTTCCAGTCTCAGAAAGACTTCTCACATGCCTAGTCTGTTCTAGGGGGCTCCCTCACAAGGGCTTCCCCACCCCCTCCCTCTCAGCTGAAGCTGTTTCCCCAGGGCTCTGCCAAACACCAGTGAAACACAGCCAGAGGCCCGCTCCTTCCTTCTTCAGAGTTGGACTTCTTCACCTGGACCCAACACCAGTCTCCTGCAACCCCTCCCACACTGTGGGGCTTTCGCTATGCTCCGAGGGTTGTGGTCACGCACCAACTGTATCCACCCCATGACTTTAAAAGCCAGGCCTCATATCCCTTTCTCTGGCCTGGCCCCCTGGCTTCCCAACTTGAGCTCCCTTCCTCTAGGCTAACACATCCAGCACCAAACTGCTGACCTGCTCCATCACAGTAAATGACATCACCGTCTTCAGGCGGATCAGAGCAAGGATGAAAGTGTCACTCGTGAGCGCTCTCTGTCTCTAGACCCAACCTCCAACCTATCGCCAGGTCCTGCCCTTATTTTCAACGTAAATTCAGAGTCAGACCACCTTTGGGAAGGCCACTGCTGCCGTGGGGTCTAAAATACACCCACCTCGAGGTGCTCTAACCATAGCTCGAGAGGCCTCCCCACTGCCACCTAACAGCCAGGATGACCTGTTTTGTTTAAATCATGCTGCGACTCCTAGACTGCTCCCCAGCCCTGTCTATCCCTCCCAACAGAAGATGGAGGTGCTGGGCCCTGGCCAGCTCCCTACCTACTGTGTCCCTAAGCCCCAGGACAGCACCAGTCACACAGCAGCTCAACAAACATCTGCTCCCTGCGTGGGAGGAAGAAGAGTCTTACAGGAAGTTTCAAAGGGTGCTCCCCCACATTAAAACTGGGACAACCATTTTCCCAGAGTGGTGCTAGTCTAGTATTTCAATTAACTGCCTAATAATAATGAACTTGGAGTAGGCCTGTAATTTCACATTTTTATTGGGCCTAAAATTTATTACATTACTTCGTTACTCTGTATATTAAAAGTAGCCAAAGATAGTTATGTGGGAAAGTATCTGGATAAGGCACGTTCCCAGTGCTGGGCAGTCCCATGGGGCCGTGTACCCAACAGCGCACGCTTACAGACCACCAGAGCTGCAGACCAAAGGACAAGAGCACCAGGACCCCATCGCATGTCGTGTCGTGGAGC